CTATTTCTTAGAGATATCAGAAATATTTATTTGTTTCTCAGAAAATCTGATTTTAGTAAGGACTCAGAAATGACATCTTTCTAAGAAGAAATTGTGACATACTTAAAAAAATAGCCTGATTTAACTCAAACCTATATTTTATTTTTAGTTGCCTTTCAGCGCTTTCGTACTTTACTCTGTTTTCAATTTTTTTTTCACTAGACATTCTCCATTGAACTATTCCATATGCTAAACTCAACTGAATGAGTAGAACATCGTTTAAGATCAATCATCTCAAACTAACTTATCATCAAACAATATTGAGGTCATAAAATAAAAAAATATAGAAAATTCAAGAAAATATTTCCTTCGTGCGAAGGCAAAAGGTATGTGGCATGTATGGTATATGGTTAAAAATTTGTAAATTGAACTGCATTGATTTCTCCAAAATTTCAAATCGCTACTTCACTTTCACAGATCACTCGGTGATAATATTAAATTTCACATATTGTACATTACTATTACTAAATAGAAAATACGAAATCGATAAGTGGCCTCTGTCGTAGATTAATACGACTACGCCCTACTACTACCACAAACATTACTTACAAAATTTTATTTTGTTTGCTAAACAATCTCGCTAGAAGTTTTGCCAATTTGTTAGGTTATAAAACAATGTCGAACTTAAAGCATAAATCCTGGCATAAATCCTTAAACTTTAAAGATACAAGTCGATAACCGAGACGGAAATTTATTATCGACAAATAGTTTTCACTAATGAAGCTTCTTCATTGTACTTTAAAATACGTTGTTCGTGGTTCATACGTACATGGAGTCCTATTGGAAATTTTGTCGATGTATTAAGGTAAAATTCCAACAAGCAAAAATTCGATTATAAGACTTGGTGTCAAAAAAAAACGGCCAAGGGTAAACGCCAGAAATTATTCTTAAGTTTCTAGAATGGCTGCCAGGGGACTAAATTGCATTATTGTTCGTGTTCGAAAATAAACTTGGAGTTGTTGAAAAGGGCTCTTTTTAATCTACCTACGCTGCCCTCAGCTTGTTTGCTTGTGTCGGAGTGAGAGGGCGTTTTGCGCCATCATTATAAATAAACGTTTTTATTTATTAAGTCACTATTTATACAAAACGAAATAAACCCATATGTTAATATAATGATAATAATAAAATGCCAACCTGACATGATACATTTTATTTATATTATTGGTTAATAAGAAACGATCTATGTTTTAAAATAAACATACATATGAAGAGGACATGGAACAGACTTTCATTTTCGCCGAGGTACAGTGCAACGTTCAGTATGATTGACTTTATATGAATTTTGTGAGGTGATTATTCGTTATTCTAAGTTGAGCTACATTCTTTGCTATACAGAATGGTAAATTAGGGCTTATTTACTTTGAAAACAGTTACTAATATATAAACTATTGACACCGTGTAGTGAGAATTTCGAAAGATTGCAAAATGCATTTTAGGGTGCTTGGATTATTTATTATTTAGCATAGTGTCTGGCCATTTTAATTGGTGATCGAAAGTTTACACTTTTAAATGATTTATACCACACTCTAATCGCAAAAGAGCAGAATAAGTTAGATTGGGCTTAAATGATATTAAAAACCCCTATTAATGCTCTCCAGGAGATACAGTTTCGATTTATAGAACATGCTTAACAGTGATACACTGTCGGGCTCTGGTGACAGAAGATTCTGCCATTGCCCTACAAAGCAAAGAAGAAAAAGTAACTCCCAAATATATATGATTAACTACTTCAACAGAATTATTATTAAGAAAAACACCTCTCGGGAGGATAGCCACCTAAGAATCTTTAAAAGTAAAAGGAATAACAACTCAAAATAATGTAGCATTTTTGGGGAAAGATTCAGTATACCTGCCATTATTAAATAATCCTTTTCGGATGGCCCACAGTGAGTGCCCTATTAGATGTATCTGACGAACGAATCAAGGGATTTACTTACTGCTTACTGCTCTATCGCTCTAAAATATTTGTATGTAGCGTTGCTGTTTCTATACAGGGTGTTCGGAACCTTGGAGGTAAGATTCAGCGTAGGAAAATAATGGTAGCAAGTCATGTAACAAAATTCGAAATCATATTATTTTGCGAGTTATAGCTTGTCAAAATTCATTTTTTTTAATGTTACTTTTACCGCAGTGGGCTTCATTCTCAGCGGAATATGCTGGCATTTTACACACAGGCCTTTTTTTATTTTCTGTTAGTGTTACTCTAGCTTTAAGTAGATAAGTGTTATCGTTTAGCCACAAATCGATTTTTTATTCTCGGCTCGAATTTTACCAATAAATGTGATTTTATATAACTTTACTTAATGAAATTTGAAAAAGTCATTGTCAGAATCGGTTAAAAATTAGTTTCTATTAAAAGAGCTTATCATCCAACTGCTACTGTGATGTCTCGTCAGGAATATTCAAATACTGAATTTGCTACGGAAGAGCAAATGGAAATACAGACCAGCTTTATATCGAGGCTTATCCCAATAGGAAGGTGCCATCTGCTAAGACATTCATCAACATACACAGAAGAAATGGCCAAAGAGGATCATTGAATCTTGATAATATGAATAAAGGGAGACCAAGGTATAAAAGAATCTCTCCAAGAGAAGAAAGAATACTTCAAAATGTAGAGGCTGCTCCGTCAACGAGTACGAGAAAACTTGCTGCTCAGCTCGCTCTACACTCTGGAAAGTTTTGCATAAAAATGATCTTCGATCGTTTCATGTTCAAAGGGTTTAACAATGTATGAGGGTGATGAGCAATTAAGAGTAATTTTATGCCATCAAAATTTAGGAAAAATTCAAAATTATCAGCAATTCTGTCAAACTCATTGTCAAATTTTCAAATGTCATTTTGTTCACTGACCTGACTGCATTCAGTCGAAATGTGAATCAGTGGAACATTGAAAACACAAATGCAAAAATTGAAGGAAAACATGATGTTTCCTTTAAATGTGTGGGCTCGGATCATTTCTTTAACTGATCACTTAATGGAGAAAAGTATTTGCAATTTTGCCAAGAGGAACTACCACCTTTGCTGGAAGAGGTATCCTTGCAGTGCAGACAAAACATGTGGTTTCTGCCAAATGGCGCTCCGCCCCATTTTACATTGGTTGTACGAAGGTATTTAGATCAGGCATTTGAACGTTGACGGATAGGTCGGGGCAGACTTCGCTAACCAGACCTTATTCCGATATACTTCTTTTTTTTGGGGGCACTTAAAGTCTTTACTGCATCAAACACCTATAACAGATATCAATGATCTACGACAAAAAATAATAAACTGTTGCGAAATCATTAGAAATTGATTAGGCGTATAAGAACATGTTCAGAAATGAACTGTGGGCATTTGGAAAATTAATTGTAATTAACGTGGTCAACTGATTAATTCCCGATTATTATTTATATTTTTTATTTTCGAAATTGTTAATTACGTTTATGTTACTTAAATTAAACATATTTTAACACATTTTTTCACTTTTTTAATTTGTAACATACTGTTTTGAAAAATTTAGTGCACCTCGCCTGCAGAATAATAATGGTAGCATGCATTTCCAATTGCTTTTCCTTAACAGAAATGCATATCGCGATATCCAGTATCATTTTTCTGCAAATCAGATGTGCGGGGATTCGTTCCGAGAATAAAAAAGTCGATTTGTGGCTAAACGATAACATTTATCGACTTAAAACAAGAGTAACATTTTTGAGGATTTGTTATTCTGCTTAATACGATCTGTTCTATTTTGCAGTATCAGTATAAATGAATAAAATACAGGGAAAATAAAAAAAATTCTAGGTAAAGTGCGATCTAGTGACAGATTTTTGAAACAATTTTATTTTGTAACGATGACTTTTACTACGTCAGCACTGTGTGTAAAATACCAGCATATTCCGTTGAGAATGAAACCCACTGTGTTAAAAATAAAATGAAATAAAATAAAATAAACGATTTTTAACAAGCTATGACTAAGAAAATATGACTTACTACCATTATTTTACCAAGTTGAATCTTTCCTCCAAGTGTCCGAACTCATGTTCCGAACACCCTGTATAAATATGGCAACGCAAGAAACAAAGTAGATTTTGTTCAAGTTTTCATGTACCCCTCCCTTATCCATAACGAAATGAGAAATAATTTAATATTCTTGGGTAATCATAAAAAATCAAGATGAACTTTGTTTCAAAAAAGACAAGCCTGTCAAGAAACTGGCATTTCAGAATTTTGTTGAATAAGGGACGTTTATTGTTGATAATGTTATGATTGTTATTATATGTTATGGAATTAGAGTCGTTGGAAATAATATGAATAAGGAAACTTTAAAAATTATGTACTTTGCAAAGTTTCAGTCCCGCATGAGGTATGGGACTATCTTTTGGTCACTTACAGAAAATTTTCGTGGTTCAAAAGAGCACTCTTGGCACTGTCAAAAAAAAAAATACAATTTAGAGAGAGCTGTAGAGGGGTGTTCAAGGCTGAAGGTATTTTTACTGCACATGCTTTATATATTTATGAAGCATTGATATTCTTTTTTAAAAATCGAAAGGACTTCGAACTACAGATATTTCATAGATATAATAGCAGAACCCTAAATGTAAATTGCCCGAATCACCGTTTAACCTTAACTGAAAGGAGTCCTTATTACATGTGCCTGAGATTATATAATAAATTACCAAATGAGGTAAAACCAATTGCAAATCTAAAAATCTTTAAATGCACAATGAAAAAGTTATTGATAGAGTTAGAATCTTACTCCATAGAAGACTTTTTCCGTAATATTTAAATAATTGTTTAATTAATACAATGTAATTGAAATTTGCAACAATATCTAGTGCTTTTTCCTTTTTTGACGCCGATTTCCTTTGTGATTGGTATATTATATTTAGGTAATGTATTTGTGACACAACGTGAAATAAAGTTGATTGTTATATTTATTATTATTATTATTATTATTATTATTATTTAACTTGACTAACCTGCACTGCATCAAAGAATCCGCCAAAATATTCGGAGGAGAGCATCCTATCAACACTTTCAATAAACTCCCCGTCAGTTACAAAGTCATCTAATTTGATATCGTTTATTTCGAAATTGTCGAAGTCGATCATGGATTTTGTTTCGATCATCGGATTTTTTTGTTTTCTATCCATCTAAGCGGAAGCTAATCGCGGCACTCCATGTAAACCAAGCTTTTAAAAACTCAAAGCGTTCTTAAAATAGTTTTAAAACTATTCACATAACTTTAATGATATCGCGACGCGCGCGTTTCCCGAGACGTCGTGGCGCTCTAGCGACGCCGAAGACGTGTCGGAATGGAATGTACCGTCGCGACGCCTAAAGAGAGAAGCCGGCCGTCCTACAGTTGCGAGTTGTTAAATTACAGAGTCTGCGCTCGCCGTACGTTGATTTGGGAAATTCGCTGTGAAAATCATGCCGTTAAAAGATGGTCGAGTATGATTCTCTTTTCTGAGGAGTAACAAAGTTTAACAAAGATTGTGTGAGTTGGTATTTTTCATATTTTTGGAGTTACTAATAAGAAACAATGTTTTTTGTATCTATCACGCAGCGTTTTGGAATTGATTTTTAAGATGCCATATTTATTGTTTTAATAATAGGAACATTACCTAAAAATAAAAAATGCTAAGCCACTGGTACATATTTTGTATAAATTTACAGAATATTAGCGGGGAATCATTTTTAATTTCTTTTTAAAATGCTAATCCCATCAAATTAGACAAAAATAAGTCAAAACTTAGACAAAATACGCATAGAGCTGAAAATTGGCAGAGACGTTAAATATACCTTTATACATGAAATGCCAAAATCCCCTTCGATTCGACTTGTGCGAAAAATTTAATTCAAAGTCAAACGTACAAAATTGAGTATTTTGCCATTTTTCTCAAAAACGGTAAGTTTTATCGTGAAAATAGGTCAGGCAAAAGTTATAGATCATACAATTCTCCACAAAAATTGTCCCACAAACTGAGCTACACTGATTGCGATCAGATCGAATCCATGAAAAAAGGGCCCTTTTCAGAGCCAAGTCTGACAATCATATCTCTCAATGTTGAAGGCATTTCAAATTCTAAGCAAGACTTAATCTCCAACCTATGTAAAGAGAACTCAAGTGACGTCCTATGCCTTCAGGAGATACATAGAGCTCCAACACAACGCCGCCCAAGTATACCAGGTATGACGCTAGTGAAAGAATGTCCCCATGACCAATATAGTAGCGTAAAACTAGGAACCAAAGTAACTAATGTACTTACCACCACGCTCAACAACATAGAGCTGATCATGATTAACCTGGGAAACCTAACGATATCCTGAATATACAAACCACCGAACGAGAGATTTTTATTCCGCCAACATCTTAACCAACGACATGTGGTAATAGGAGACTTCCATGACCAGAAACCACTAGCCTCCTTTAATAGTGACAGATGGATGAGACGCTACAACACGGACCTTATTTTCACCGACAACTTTCTTGCTGGAACTAGCAATAAAACAGTCATGGGTCCTCTTCCACACTCCAAACATCGACCAATTATGCTAAAATTCAGACCAGTAATAATGCCGCATTTAAAAGGCGGTTTAACCTAAGAAAGGCTGACTGGAACCAATTTACAAAAGAGATCGACGAAGAAATTAGAAATCTTCTACCGACCCCAGCATGTTATGATGAGTTCATCTCTACAATCAATAAGTCAGCGAGGCGCTGCCTTCCCCGTGGCTGCAGAACTTCTATATACCCGGCCTCTCCAAGTAAAAGTAAAGTAAATTAAAGGCACATACGAGGAATATTTAGAACATTATAGTCAGAATCCCTTCTTCTCCCTGGAAACCATACAGTTAGGAGACTAGCTGATTGACTCCATAAGCAGAAAAAGACAGGGGGCATGGAAAGACACGATAGGGGGCCTGGATATGAGACACAATAGCAGAAAAGCCTGGACCTCATAAAAAAGTTATCAAGAGACCCAACATCTTCCAAAGACCAAGTAAATGTCACCGCCAACGAAATCGCACATCAACTACTCCTAAACGGTAAGCCTGATCAAACTGTAAAAGTGACCCCCACCTTCAGGATGGCACAACAGCCTAGACAATCTAATGAGGTTTACTTTACCATTGCAGATCTGAAAGCTGTAATCAAGTCTCTGAAGGCCAGGAAGGCCCGAGGCAAAGATGAAATCCTGAATGAGTTCCTGATAAACCTAGGCCCATCAGCCCTGAACTGGATTCTTCAAATGTATAACTCCTGCTGGACCAACAATACAATCCCAAAATTGTGGCTAAAAGCTAGCGGTCCTTAAACCGGGGAAACCAAGGGTAGATGCTAAAAGCTACCGTCCGGTGTCACTGTTGTGCTCCTCTTTCAAACTCTACGAACGCCTTTTACTTAACAAGTATGGGCCCCAAATCGAGAACCATCTAACTCCCCAGCAAACAGCATTCAGACCTGGAAAATCCTGTACTGGTCAGGTACTAAGCCTCACCCAACACATTGAGGGCGGCTTTGAGAGAAAAGAAACAACAGGCGGCATATGACACCATAAACCATAAAATATTACTGGGAAAAAATTTCAGAATGACAGGAGACTATCAGTTGACGAAAGTGATAAAAACAATGCTATCTAACAGAAGATACTATGTAGAGTTCCAAGGAATAAGAAGCCGTTGGAGGAACCAGAAGAATGGCCTTTCCCAAAGTAGCGTGCAAACACCCATGCTTTTCAATGTTTATACCAACGACTAACCAATCGACTCATCAACAAGAAGCTTTATATATGCCGACGACGTAGCTATCACCTGCCAGTCAAAAAACATCGCAGAGATAGAGGAGCAGATAACAGAATCCCTCTCAAGACTGAATGATCATTATAGATCAAATCCAGCGAAAACGCAGACTTGCCTATTCCACCTCAATAATCGACAGGCGGGAAGGGAACTACAAATAGAATGTAACTCAGTCAGACTGCAACATTGCCCAAACCCAGTCTATCTAGGTGTTACATTAGACCGCTCCCTAACGTTCAGAAAGCATATCGCATTGCAATAGCGCAAATAAGTAGGAAAACCTTAGCCATAGCCGAACGAACCAGACAATGTGAACATGCCAGACATCCTCTGTACCAATATATACCGGCAGCGGCCAGACTAAAATCAAGGCGAGGCCTTATGCAATCTACACAGCCTGTCACAGCCTCTAAAACTGCTACCAAGGAGGCAAAATGGGAACAGCGCCTAGCAGTCAACGACATCCCAACCTGGAATACAAAAGAAAAACTTTCTGCAGGCTTTGACTTAGACTTGGGTACCTGGAAAACCCTCAACCGACTCCGATGCCAAATGGGGAGATCCAAGAACAACCTCCTGAAATGAGGATATGTGGAAAAGGAAACATGTGAATGTGGAGAATCCCAGACAATGGAACACCTTCTAGCATGTCAATCCCTACAAGCCCCGTGTACCATCCGGGACCTTTGGACGTGCAATGAAAATACTGTGAAATGCGTCAGACACTGGAGTGATATATGAACAATATCTTATAATTACTTATAGTTACAAGTTGTAGTTCAGACAAGATTAAATAAATTAAATTATCGAATACACTTACATTAAGATCAATAGGTCAACTCTGGTCATGCTTCTTTATATAGATTCGAGTTCTGGAGGCGATTTGTTTCCTGTCAAATGCCTGGTCCTTGCGAAGATAGACGATGCTGGTCCTATCCGCGGTTGATTGACTAGCTGATTGTAATCCACAGATCTTCGATAGATTGACAGATTTTCAATGTTCGGAAAAACTCCACACTACGTCAAACAGATTCACTAGTGTCCCAACAGTACTTTTTTTCGGTTAATTCGATTGAAATGAAACAAATCGAACTCGTTCGATACGTATAGATTCCGGAAAATCCGTTCCGACTGCGCCGATTAACTAATTTGACCGTGGTTGATTATAACATAAATATTTTCAACTGACTGCCCACTGCGCATCTTTCCCATCGTGATATGTTGCGAGTCTTGCACACTCAGCAGGTTCCCAGGGTCATCCGATGTTCAGTATAAATAAAATATAAAAAAATAAAATAATATATAATAAAAATATATTAAAAAAATAATAAAATAAAAATTAAAATAAGATAAAGGACTAATTCCCTAATCCCCTTCGTATACCTGTCTATTTTTGAAGGAAGTAAAGGAGATATATAATTCACTATATACTGTCGTTGTATGTACTGCCGTTTTCGAGAAAAATGGAAAAAATCTCAATTTTGGAAGTTTGACTTTGGATATTTTTTTTGCACAAGTCGAATTAAAGGGAATTTAAAGGGATTATATACTGTCGTTGTATGTACTGCCGTTTTCGAGAAAAATGGAAAAAATCTCAATTTTGGAAGTTTGACTTTGGATATTTTTTTTGCACAAGTCGAATTAAAGGGAATTTTTGAAATTTCATGTATAATGGTGTATTTAACATCTCTGTCAATTTTTAGCTCTCTGCCAATTTTTTGCTAATTCAAATGTTTATTTTGAGTGAATTATGCCAAAACTTTGTGAAAAAATTCCGGACACGTTTTGCTATGTGTGTGGTTCTTTTGTAGTCAAGAAATTTAGACGCGAAATTAAACCCCTGTTTAAAAAACATTACTGCGTTTATTGGTGATATTGTTTGTAAGATATGTAAGCTTTAAATAAAGCAAGAAAATCCAGTAAACGAAGTTTCTCGACCAAGAGGGAGAGATCTTCAAAAAATAAATGGACTTAACTATTGTTAATGACTATGTTATTTAATTAATGAAAATGACATTTTGATAAACCGAGATTTTCATCTATTAATTCTTTTAATATCGATAGAGGAAAATGTTTATCAGATTTAAAGTTAGGGGGCCTAAATTATGAGCACTCAAATGTCAGCTCAAACTTACAAAAAGTGTAATTATTATAACGCTTATTATCAAAAACTGTCATGTGATAACAAAAATTAGTAATTTATTGAATATGGTAATATGGAAACTTACATAATAAATTTTAAAACAATTTAAATTTTAGCATTTGCAAACCTTTCACATTTACAGTCAACATCAAGGTTCACACAATCAACAAAACCCCACGATCTATCAGAAATTTGGTTGAAAAGCATATGTCGTGCTGTAATCGAAGGACCAGTAAAAGTTTTGAGAATTTCACGTTTTAGTGGATTTATTGCGAATAATAATAAATGAGTCCAATCGTAGCTCTACGTGTCTTCTTCGGTTTCACAACATACATAGACACTTCTGAGTA